GTGTGTGTGTGTGTGTGTGTGTGTGTGTGTGTGTGTGTGTGTGTGTAATAAGATGATTGAGATTGTTAGCGTAGTACAGAAGAGCGTTTTGCACTGGTTGGCAGAATGATTGTAGGTTCATAATAAAAATACAGTGGAAGTCCAACGGCACATCCCACAGACAGGATAGAATATGACTGCTTTTTATTTTAACGGGACTCAAATTTTCTAATGAAACAAATGGCAAAAGACAGAAAAAAATGAATGTGACCAAAAAGAAATACTATGTCACATCTCGACTTTCAAGTTATTGTGACGTTTGTCTGAAAAGCAGCCTGCCAATCAAAAGATAAACACAAAAACTTCGATAGATCAGTGCTGAAGTTATAAACGCATTAAGGTTGATGGTTTAAACACAGAATATAACTGGACTCCAAAGATAATGTGCTGTGATTTGTTGTCAAGAAGGTTTGAAGGTTGTTCACAATAGATTGTGGCAGATGGGTTTCATCTAACAACCTGTCAAGTAAGCATTTAAGACACCTGTCTACGTTTTATTTTGCAGTAAACTTTTACGCATTACACTTTTTAAAATTCAGAATCATGTCTTACATCAGAACCAACAAACAGTAGATTGTTCACAAGGCTGTTTAGGATCAGCTACTTTGTAAACAGCAACTTCAAGCTAATACAACAATGCATCTCTACAATAAACAGTGAGTTTATCTACGATCTTCCTGGGAGGATTGCCACTCCTGGCACTGTCCCATCTGTGCATTCACAGGAAACGACTTGACTTCTTTGTAATCCTCACAACAGGTCACAAGGCACCCTTCAGGACAACATAATACACTCCCTGGTGTACAAACTAAAACAATGAGCATTCATTACTGTGTTGGTCTCTCAAATGATTGTGTCACCAGGTTTCAACTGTTCAACATCACCAGGGTTCTACAATGTAATATAAAAGAAAAGGTTAAAATTGTTGCTAAAAGCCAAATCTACTCAATTTTACAAGTCACTCAAAGCTGATATCACTGGTTTTTWCATTCATTCATTTCATTTTATTTAATCAAGGACAGCACAATAAACAATGTTACATGATAAAAAACAACAACAAGCAACTGTTGCTTTGTAYAAGGGTTTTCTAGCCATAAGCTGATTTTCAAACCCAGTCCTTGGTTGGACTTTTAAAATATAAACTAAAGCTGGGCGATATGACCGAAATTTTATATCACTGTATTTTCAACAATTACACCGGCTTCACTGTATTTGACGGTATTTTTTTCCTCACTGCTCAGCTGATGATAAAATTTACAAACTTTGCTTGTTGACTTTTTTCTTTTACTGTAACTCTGTATCACTGTTTCCCTCCTCGTGTACGTCTTTTCACCTTTGCCTGGTTGTAGACAGTAACCATGCATTTTGGTCCAATCGTGAAGGGTTGAGAAAAAAATCATTATCTGGTCTATCGTTGTGTGTTAATAAAACTTAAAAGGACGACTCACCTTGCACACCTGTCAACTCAGCTACACTACAAAACTACTTCCCCCTGGCTTTTCACAATAGAAGCACGCTAGAGTCTCCATGCAATAACGTCTCCATTATAATGTAGCACGTTAAATCTAACCRTGCACGWCACTGAAGAGTTGTTTACTATTCAACGATGGTGAAAACGGGAAGGTTTTTTATGTCAGACCATACAAGCAGCTGAAACACCACCCGCCGCCAGTTGTTCCAACAATAACGTTAGCATGCTAATGTGCTTAGCGGTGCTGCAAGKAAATGTGTCCCCCGGGAAACAGYTCGCCGGCGGCCGCGACGAAACCTTCCGCACGTGTTCAGTCTATTTACACCGGTATTCAGAAAATTCATATACAAAAAATAAATAAAAAACAGTTTTCCGTACAAAACGGTATACCACCCAGCACTAATATAAACAGCTAAAAATCAAATAAAAACAGTCCCCCCTCTCTCTCTCTTACTCACTCACCCACCCCACACACACACACACACACACACACTCACACTGAGTGACTATAACTAGTGACAAGAAATACATGAAAAGATAAGCAAGTGTTCCAAGTATGAGGGTCTCTAAATGAGAAGGAACATTGACCAAATGTTCCAATGTTCTAATTTTACAATTATATTTACAATTGACACATAATTACAGATAAAAATACACATGAACAGGCTTTTTTTAGATAGTGTAAACAGCATTTAAAAATTATGTGTTTAGGCATTTAGGTTGTTGTGCTTCAGGTTTTTGATCAATAGCTTTCATGTGGCAGTACCACAAAGAAAAACTGCAGAGGCTTTAATCCAATTATGTAGATTTTCTCATTTTCTTTGTATATTACTTAAAAAACCAGTACAAGTTTCAGCAAAACGAAAAGGCAACCTTCAAAGTCACAATGGTATGAAGATCCTGAAGGACTGACTCAATAAAAAAAAGAAAAATAAATATAAAGGGATATTTGGTACCTCTGTGGCTTCACTTTATCATTACATTATCAGCAGTTGGTGTCTATATATGACACATCTAAGGAGGTGGTGTTTGACTTTAGTGAATAGAATAGAATAGAATAGAATAGAATAGAATAGAATAGAATAGAATAGAATAGAATAGAATAGAAACAGTCTTTATTGTCCCACGCTGGGAAATTCAGGTGTGGTAGCAGCAGAAGATACATACATCAATCCACAGAAACAGTGTATTGCTATGTGACATTATCAACTGTAGCAATAATAATAGAATTAAAGACAGTAACAAATAGTATCCAAAATATTTAGACACACTCCTTGTGTTTTTTCTTTCCACTAGTTTCACAGACTGTAACCAGTTAAACTGCAGCATAAACACAGTTTACTTTTTTTCCTAAGAATTGATTTGTTGTGGATGCTCTACCAGATTTCTCTCTGTTAAAATGACATAACAGATTTAATCTGATAAAATACGTTTGGTAATCTAGTCAATTATCTCCAACAAGCACATAAGCTGGCAAAAATTTTGTATCTTATATTTTATTGGCATGAAAACCACAATACGATCAAGTAAAAATAGTTTAGTATTTCTGGTAATGTTATTGTATTGTCAACAACCATAGTTCTGTGCAGTGTTATGAATTCTAGTGCAGTATGTTGGTATTGTGGTCRTTTTTAGCAAGCAAAAAACAGTGTACCCTAAAAAAGGCTAAACTTTCCAAGACCTATAAGGGTAAATACATATAACTGCTTCTTTAATCATTTACATTCTGGTTTCTAGAAATGAGTAACTAGTTTTGTAGTTAAATGTAATGTATGCACCTCTACTCCTTGTGATCTCAAATTACAAGGCCATGGAGTAGGGGGGAAACACTTTTGTTATGGCCCAAAAAACAGAAGGGTCACAAAAATGGGAAGCAGATCACGAGTTCCATAAAACTTACAGCAAAGTGTATTAACCATTGCTACAGTCTTATTTTATACCAACTACGAACAACACCAAATAACTGATTTAGAAAATTTGTGTGTTCTCAATCTGAAGTATCGCCCTATCCATAAATATTAGTCTTCTGTAGACAATTTTATGTCCC